CATCACAAGAGAAGTAAGATTACAGTCTGATACCTAAAATTCCAGGGAAAATTAGATACTAAACAAAACAGAACCTCTGCAATTATGTATCACATCTGCTAACATGTAAAAATTATTTATTCAACCCTAAAAATCACAATCAGAAAGCTCCAAAAATAAAAAAATGAAATCTGTCCTTTTCCTTTTCCATATTATTTTTTCACATTACGCAGTCAAAAGCTACACAACAGCTACTACTATCTGAGCTGAAAACCAAAAAACGCGAAAATAACAAAATGGGGTAAATTACCTGAGTGTATCGATTAGGGTTCCTCCGGAGATGACGACGGAGAACGAACCCTTTTCTTTGATGAACTTTTTAGAAAGATTGGCGGTGTACTCAGCTAGGGCCACGGCTACATCTTCCTCTGTATCGAACTTCACCACTTTTGTCAGGTTTTGGGTTGTGGAGGAAGCCATTTTGAGCTGGTTGAGCTAAATTAATGATTTTGATTCAAAATATAATGTGTTAATTTCCAATTTTTAGCAGTTTCTCATAGGGAAGCTTCACGCTCGTTGCATCTATGATCTACCTCTTGCTGTATAAGAAAAACATGAAAAATATGCCTCTGAGTAATCGCAATTCGCATGGCATTGCAAGCTTTGTGTTAAGCATTGTCGTACTTGGAAAAATATATGTTAAATTAAATATTACACAAATTATAATAGGCCAGCTTAAGTGGAATAAACAAAATGGAAATGAAACAAAATATTTTGATACACGTGGTACAACTACTATTCCATCTATATATATATATATATATATATAATTGCTAGCTAAGCAATAAATTTTACCTAATAAATAAAACCTAATAAATTTTACCTATGTGGCAAATCATTAATAAAACCTAATAAATTTTATTTATGTGGCATTAATACACCCAATCTCATTAATAAGAAAATATTTCATTACATTTTTTTGGATTAATTAAGACATAAACCATTATATTTTATGTTAATTGATTAATAATTATATTTTTTATTGAATAATATAATAGTTAATATTAAAACTAGTAATTATATTGTATACTAAATAATATATGAAAGTTACATAAAATTATATTTTACACTGAAATCAATATTTTTTATATGATGAAGCGGTTGTTTATTAATAAATTAATTTTTTTTATGTCATAGTAAAATTTCTTAAAATCACATAAGCAATTGTTATAATAAATGTAATATTTTTCAGCTAATTAATTGGTCATGATCACTCAAAATTATAAAAAGTATATATTTATTATATTTTATGCAATCAATATAGTGATTCGTATACAATCAAATCTTGTGTACTATTTATTTTAACCAATGATCAAATTTTTAAATATAATACTATTATATAATTTATAATTTTAATATTATATACATAAATATAACTTATAATACTATATGTTTGAAATATAATACAATTATACAACTTATAATTTTTATATTATATACATAAATATAACTTATAATATTTAATTTTATTTACATCTGTACAAATGCACAAGGTCGAATACCTGTGGGCATGTAAGCCAACATAAAAGCAACCTTGAGCCCATTTTCTTGTAGGCCCAATTGTTGTTAAGAGGTGTACATTATTTCAATCAGGGCCCATTTGAATGTTTTAGGGGATGGATACTTATTGGTTATTCGGCTTTTCTTTTTTCCTAAAAAGATTGTTAGATTTTGATCTCTGTCATAGATATTCTTCAAAACAAAATAATTATCACTTATAATTCAAGAGAATAATACAACCATTAAATTATCCATTGAAAAAAAATAAGCTATTTTTATTTCACGTATCATATTATCTCTTTAATACTACAATCTCTATTTTCTCACTACCACATTATTATATAGTTTAGAACCAGCATCTTTGTCCAAAAAGTACACATGATTCTATTTGGCGGTGGTTTAGAAAAACCGGTTATGAATGTGATCCATTGTTTTTCCTCGTACTACTGAGGTCTGTTTGGAAAAAGAGATGTTATGTGGCTGTCGAACCCGATACCATTCAAAATGATGTCGAATATTGGAAATCTATCTGTTGATATAAGGATGATTATCTTCTCGACCAAGACAAGTTTCTTAGTCTAAGGCCACGTCAGATGGCGAATTCTTGTAGGGTATAGAGTAGGCGTTATTTTTTTGAATTGGTACCTACATGTCACACCAATCATAGTATTGTTATGTCCCAATTATTAGATCATACGAGATTTTATGGTACATTGGTATAGTCTAGTTATACTATTTATTATCATACCTTGGAAAGAAAACCATCAAAAGCTAATTTGTAATTGCTCAATGGATCAGTCAATGGAACTGCTCTATCATCAACACAAAAAGATGAGCCACTTTGACCAATCCACGGTGGTGCTATATGGAGGCTCCAATATTTTGCTAATATCAATCAAAATGAAATAACTTTCATTTTAGATATGTCTACACACATATAGAAGTATAAGTCTTAATTTTAAAGGGGAAAAAACTACCACATATGTAAAAAAAATGCATTTTTTTTGTTCCTAAAGGAAAGTATACCCTACCCCTAAACAATTATATATATTATTTCATCTTCTCGTTTCTTATGTTATTAATTAAGTACTGCAAAAAATATCGAGTATGCCCGAACTACATGAACACGGACAACTCACTCGATCCAATGTTTTTTAGAAGAAATATTTGATTTGTTTTTAACTAAATTATGTGGTTCGAATTTCGTTACCAAATAAATATTGAATCACAAAAGAGATAAATTTTGAGATGTCTTGTATTCTAATGATAAGATGATTTTGAACCCAATACTCGCACTTTCATTCACCGCTCAATTAACCTTGTCGGTAACTCGGCATTAATTGATTATTACCTCATGGTATAGATGAGTGTATCTCTTGAGAGTGCAATGGAAAAAGAACCCATCTCTTTTGTAAATTTATGCGAAAGACTAGCTGTGTATTTTGCAAGAGCCACAGCTACATCTTCTTCAGAATCAAGTTTTCTTACAATGGTTTTGCCATCTAATGCAAGAGCCAAATGTGCGATTAAAACTAGAGCTGCAGATAGCATAATAAGTTTGACAATCGCTAATTGAATCAGCTAATCAAACCAACAACCACAATCAATGTCTATTATCTAGTAATACAACAACTATCAATTATCAAATAATTGTCAAACCTGACCTTAAATATTTTCAATTTAGTATTACTAATTATTATTTATTTTATAGAATTTCTTATCTACAATTTTATTGCCCCAATATAGAAATAAAAAACAATTAATATTTATATATTTTTTATAAATAACATTAGGGTAAATAATAATTTGCAACGTGTATTATACGCGAATTTGAGATTTGCAACCTAAAGAATTTTTTGTACTAAATCGCAACCTTTAATACATGATTTGTCTATATCGCAACCTCCGGCCATCGGAGGTTCATTTTTCACCGAAAAAGCAAGCGTGTGACACACACGTACCAAATTTGAGGGAAAAAATGTCATTCATCTCCCTTCATCCTTCTTCTTTCATCGAGAACACAGATATGGAAAGGTTTAAGATTGTCTGCTACAGTCTGCACGCCGCCGATGGCCTACCGGAGGGACGATTTGCAGACATAGCAGCATGACGAAATTATAGGATGTGTTCTCTACTGTAAAAGATCGTACAGTTCTTCATCCGGAGGTACCGTTTGGTATTTTTCTACCAAGATATAGTAACCAGTTGAAATTCAGCAAGCTCTCACACGCACTCCCACCTACATAGTCAAAATCAAGGGAACCGCAGGACCGCCATCCGCCGCGCCTGGTAAAAGAAGCCTTATTTTATCGCCGGCGGAGTCTCAGCAATCAAATTCGACTTCAGTCTGGACATATTTTTCGATATTATTGCCTCAGATATGAAGAAGAAAGCAATCGAATTTTCAAGATTATGTATTCGAAATTTCTCTTTGCTCTGTTCATCGTTTGTTGAAATTATTGCCTCAGATCTGTAGAAGAAAGCAACCGATTCAAAATTTCTCTTTGCTCTGTTCATCATTTGTCGAAATTATTGCCTCAGATCTGTAGAAGAAAGCCAACAAAATTTTCAAGATGTGTTCGAAATTTCTCTTTGCTCTGTTCATCTTCTTCCTCACAGCCCCCATATTTCCGTCCAACAGCCTCACTCTCTACGGCGGCGCTTTCTTGAACGCTGCCTCCATCGCCTGTCAAAGGAGAAGAACTTCACCTTCCACTGCCTCCGTTCTTCCCGCTGGCTCCGCTGCTTCTATTTCATGCCTTTTCTCTTTCGCTGTCGACAGGTTCATGTTTCTTATCAAATCAAAAGGTGCAACTACATGGGCCTCCCGATTTAGGAACCTGTTGACATCCGAGTTCGCCGATAAGACCGAACCGGACACATTCCTAGAGCCAAACCGGAGACCCGGTCCACCCATAAAGTGCCGAGCTGGACCGGAAAATTTCATGACCCGGACGTTCCCGTGAGTTCGTCTGTCAGTCCGGCGTTTGCGACTACGAAGCCCAGATGCCGACCTTAAGAGTGACGGTCTGGAAGAAAGGTTCCCTAGGGTCGGAGGGACAAATAGAGAAAAGGTGCCGACCTGGAGTCCCAGGACGGGCTATTATAGTGAAGGTGTCGGTCTCGATAGTATTATAATAATGCCACTTGGAGGGTAATCATTGGCTAATGGATGGGACGCCCTAGCCTGTTGACCTACCCCCCCTAGCCAAGACATAAAGCCTGCCGGCATTAAATGCCTGTCAGACAATGATGAGGAAAACCTCAAATCGCATTTAATGTTGTCAGGAAGGCGCCGGACTGTCCTGCAGAAACACTGTATGACAAGACCGATGAACAGTGCCTGAACAGTGCCACATTTAAAGCTACTATAAATAGCAACCCTTCTCATTTATTTTGGGTTGTTGAACCCCAACTGTAAAAGCTATCTCTCTCTACTTTCTCTCTCTAAAATTCGGGTGATTATTCTGTAACAATTTGTAAGGATATTGCAAATGCCGACCTCGTACGAGAGGCCGACCTAGCGATCTGTCAATAAAACTGCAATTAAATCATATTTCCTTGTCTTTACGTCATTTCTTCTCCATTATTTACCTCTTTGACCGTTGACCGGAAACGCCCGTCAACAGAACCCTATTATCTCGCTGTGGAATTCAATTTTTGATTTGAATGTGTGTGAGAGAGTGTGAGAGAGAGAGGATGAAAGAGGAAGGAGGAAGAGGGATTAAATGACATTTTTGCCCTCAAATTTGGTACGTGTGTGTCGCACAATCGCTTTTCCGGTGAAAAATGAGCCGCCGATGGCCGGAGGTTTCGATATAGACAAATCGTGTATTAAAGGTTGCGATTTAGTACAAAAAATTCTTTAGGTTGCAAATCTCAAATTCGCGTATAGTACAAGTTGCAAATTATTATTTACCCATAACATTATTCGTAAAGTAAGAAATTTATAATTATCAATAAATATAATTAAGATTTTTATTATTTTTATAATATCGAATTAATTATTATATTTTTAGGTTATACCCATTCACAATATAAAATTCCTTTTGATTAATTTTTAAGGATTTACAATCTCGTCACGGAATGATTTTGTGAGGGATATCAGCCATTAGATAAACATGTAACTTCCATGTACAATAATGCTAAGGAGCCAACAGCCAATGAACCAACAGTCAATAAGACAGCTTCATGTGGGGCTGTCCCACATTGGAGCCATGTGGGACAGTCCCACATGGAGCTGTCCCATTGGTTGTTGGCTCCATAACGGAGCCAACAGTTGGCTCCTTAGCATTACTGCTTCCATGTATCTATAATAACGGTATATCTAATGGCTAAAACCTCTCACGGAATCATTTCGTGACGGGATTGTAGACAAATCTAATTTTTAAATATATATACATATATTTACCTTTCTATTTCTATTTTAAATATATATATATATATATTTTAAATTACTATTAAATCCCAATATATGGAAAAATACAACGGGACACACGCCGTTTCGTGTGCCGAAAACCTAGCTAGCTCCTGGTATATATAAGTCCATCAGTCCAACTTGAGCTCCGGTAAGAGCGGCGAAAATGCAGATCTTTGTCAAAACCCTAACCGGCAAGACCATCACGCTCGAGGTCGAATCGAGCGATACAATCGACAATGTCAAGGCTAAGATTCAGGACAAGGAAGGTAATTATCTTGTTCGTTCGTTGCTTTCACCTAATCGACCAATTTTCAGCTCATTTATTGTTTATTTGGAAAATGCAAAAGGAAAAAAAAAAGGAAAGTTGAATTTTTATTCGGTGTTCCTGAATAATTTTTCGCGAACTTGTTTTTCATTTCTGTTTCAGGGATCCCGCCAGATCAGCAGCGTTTGATCTTCGCCGGAAAGCAGCTCGAAGATGGCCGAACCCTTGCGGATTACAACATCCAGAAAGGTTATTTGTGTTGTTTTTTCTTAAGTGGATTGATTTCTTCAGGACTTGTGTTTAGGGTTTAGTTAGTTCGTTTTTAGTGAATGTTGGAATGATTTTTTGTAGAGTCGACTTTGCATCTGGTTTTGAGGCTCAGGGGTGGCATCATTGAGCCCTCACTTATGGCTTTAGCTAGGAAATTCAATCAGGAAAAGATGATTTGCCGCAAGTAAGCTTACCGAACTAAGTTGTCCCACTGATTTCATTTGTTGATTATTTGATTCTGTAAGTTGCTCTCTGTTAGTTATCTGAACCATGTTTCTTCTTCCAATCAAGTTTATCTTTGTATATATTTCAATTGATAAACAATATCGTAAAGAGCAACTCCACAATGGAAGTTGGTTACAGATGATTCATTTGAGTTTTCACGTGTATTTACAGTGTTTGTTGTTTGTGTATTGGAATCTTCATTGTATGGATACAGATGAGTTGCTTCATTGGTCTTGTTGTGTTAATTCCTACCTTTTCTAAGTTATGTTAGAAAAAAATTGTCTTTCCTTCAAATGTTGTTCCTTTTCCTTGTCCTCTCATTGTTTATTCAAGCACTATAATTGAAATAACTCTATAACAGCCTGAACTCTGCAAATGGTTTATCAATGTTTCACTCAATAACAGCCTGAACTCTGCAAATTGGTTACCAGTGATTCGGTTTAAGTTTGACTTTGAATCTGCATTCTATGTTTGGTGTGTGTATTTATATTTTGTTAAATTTGAGTTGAAACCATTTTGACGTTAATATTTCACTCTATAATATTGTTTTGAATGCTTTTTGTAATCTATAAGTGGGCATTATAATATTGTACATGCTGTTGAATTGTAGATGCTATGCGCGTCTGCACCCGCGTGCCGTCAACTGCAGGAAGAAGAAGTGTGGACACACCAACCAGGTTCGTATATGTGGTTTTTGTATCTTCGGGCTGTTTTTATTTCCTTTTTATTCTTTTCAAAATTGAACAATTATGCTTAATATTCTTTGTATTTGTGTTTGTGCAGCTGAGGCCGAAGAAGAAGATCAAGTAGACTGCTGTCTGGATTATTTATGATGGTTTCCCTTTCTGTTATTTATTTTAGTTTTTGAACATGAAAAATATGATGCTTTTGACGGTTAGACATATTGTTGGAATTCACATTTTGGTTTTGATTTTTTCATTTCATGGTTTCTAATTATGGTATGACCTATTAATATTTAGTTTCCCTTAACGTTTTGGGTTCATTTGCTAGTGGTAGGGGAGCAAAATTAGCCGAGCTTTCGCTCTTGATACTCAAGCTCATACTTGAGCTTTTGTCAAGCTGAGGCGAGCTCTGCTTATTTAGTTAACGAGCACATGGACAAGTTTGGGTTTTCAATAATAACGAGTTGAAATATAGAAAATTATATAGAATTTTTTAAATTCAAATCTTAATGATTAATAGAATTGAATAGAGCTCATATGCGACTCTTTTGTCTAACAAAAGAAATTGAGTAGACCCTCGAATTTCAAGTAGCCATGGTATCTATCATTTGGGCTTTAAGGCCACGATCGTGCCTGCCCGCTCCTATGCAAAGTCACAGCTAAAGTCGACAAACATGATTTTCATTTTGGACACTTGGTGGTGCCAAATTTGGAACACTATATGGAATTCTGTCCGCTGACTCAGCCAATCAGATAAATCAAACAAGCTCTATAATCCTTCCAAGTTATACAATCAATAACATATTTAGAAAACCATTGAAACAAAGGGAAAGGACAAAAAATGAAAAAACAAGGACATGTTATCCTCCATAGTGGTGAATCAAATTCTTCGCACCAACAAAATTCGCGCATTTTCCCATCTTTTCCAAGAATGGGAATAAAATTCTCGCTGGACAAATAATTCTGGGACGAATTATATAGTGGAGTAATTAAGTTTCCTGTGCACATGTTTTTGGAACGTAGTAGTTTGGCTATGGAAGTAGCAAAATCCTTTGAGTGCCCACACCCGATTTTTTAACGTTTGATTATACATATTTCAATATAATCATAAAATCCCGTGTTGATCCAAAAGTTATATATATAAAAAAAAAAAATCGATGTGGGCATTGGAATTTTCAATCGACATAACATAAATAAAGCAATAACACGTGTCTCGGGAAAGTTACATTTGCGACATGATTTAATACCCGCCGAATATTTGGAACCAAATATTGGACAAATAAATGTTGAACCAAATAAAAGTTACATTTGCGACATGTATTAGTACCCGCCGAATATTGAACCAAATAAAGTTACATAAATGTTGTTTCCGTGAACTAATGGGTTATCAGACATTTCCATGCAAATCTAATTTGCAATATATTTTTATTTATAACTTGTGAATTATGAATACTCCCTCCTATTCATAATAAGTGTCGTTTTGGGAAGTTGCACAATAATTTTATTGTATGAACTATATTATTGTGAATTCTATATAAAAATATTATTATGATGTATAATAACTCAATTTATGATTAATATATATATTATTTAAAAGCTACGAATTTAATAGATTTTAATTGTTGTATTTGATAAGTTATTAATTAATTTAATTTAATTTTTCAATTGGTAGGAACCTATGTTTTTATAATTTAATTATCACAAGGAAGATGTGATATCATAGGAAGCTTGATAATTTATCAAAGAAAACCAGAACATAAATTTCTTACAATAATAATAATAAAATAGTTAACATTAAGTTTCCAATTTAAAACTTTTCGGTACCAGTATTATTCTATTGTTAGCAAGTGTTAACATTTGATTTGTATTTCTCTTTTTAGATGTAATGTAATCATTGTAATGTAGTATGGACACTGGTACATGATAGAAACCAACAATTTTAATGGCATAAATACAACCGTGTCATTTTACCATATTGAGTAATGGAAAAAAAAGGTGGAATATATATAGCATATATATGAAATCAAGAATAAAACTAGAAAAAGCAACCCGAATATTTGCACCACACCTTTATAAACACACCTTGTAGCCTGAGTTGCAATGCACAACAAACTCATACTATTTGCTACTCAACAAAATCAATATCTAACATATATCTTTCTACTACTAAGCATCAATGGCTTCGAACCCGATGAACAAGAAACGACACGTGATTAAGCTCAAAACCGAGCAAGAAGTGGCCGTGAATCTGGCTTCGTACATTGCTGACCTCTCGGACAAAATCGTAAGACAAAAAGGCTATATAACTGTAGTTCTCTCGGGCGGCACACTTATACACACAATGAGGTACAATTTTCATGCATGTTTTTGAAACAAAATCCCAATGAACAAACAAACTAACAACGTTAACTAATTTGAAGAGTTGAGTAATAATATTTGTAGGGAGCTGGTGAAGACTTACAAGGAAAGTGTGAATTGGTCCAAATGGCTGGTGTTTTGGGTGGATGAGAGGGTTTATCCACTTGATAGCTCTTGGAGCAACTACAAATTGGCCATGGATGGATTTCTTTCTAAGGTTTTATTTTATTAAGAGTCTTTTCTTTTAGCTATTACATTTTATTTTCTGAGTCTTGATTTTACAGTCACATAACTAGAAGTATAAATAATAGTTATTTTTCCTTGTGAAATGACACACTTACCCTTACTTTCAAAATTTTCAATAGAACACGGTGTATAATTTCTGGCATTCAGAAACCATTTGTAGAACTTCCTTGTAGAATTCAAGTCATTGCTTATGCTTTCCATAAACCAATTTTGGAATATCCAAAAACTAACTATAGAATTCAAGATATTGTTTTAAGGTTTTCCAGAAACACTAAAAATCCTTTCTAGAACTCTAGAAAGAGTTTGAGCGAAAAAAAGTGTGGAGGAGATATTTTGATCCTTCTCATTCCAGATGTTAGAATACCACTTGTGATTTATCCACATCGTTCATACATGAAAAATAGACCTACTTTATAAGACTAATTGACTACTCCTCCTTCCACCAATTGGTTTTGGGATCGTTCATACAAAACCATGCATTTATTTTTTTTATTTATTTTTTTCAAAAATAGTATGTCGACAGGTCAATCAGCCTAACGATTAAGTGATTTTTCTGGCTAATTAAGGTCCCAATCCCAGCCGAGAACATCTACCCGATCAACTACACGCCCGACCCAGATGCCGTGGCCATCGACTACGAGTCTCGCCTGAAGAAGCTCGTCAAGGAACGAACCCTTCCCCAATCCTCGGGCGGCTTCCCGATCTTCGACCTAATGCTTCTCGGAATCGGGCCCGACGGGCACCTTGCCTCGCTTTTCCCGGGCCACCCGCAAAGGTTCGAAAAGAAATGTTGGGTCACATTCATAACCGACTCTCCCAAGCCTCCGCCACCTAGGATCACGTTCACTTTCCCGGTTATCAATGCCGCTACTTACATTGCAATGGTGGTGACCGGCGGGGAACTTGCGGACGCCGTTAGGAAGACGCTGGGCCCATTTGTGGGCCCAATGCCTCCGATCCCGTGCAAGGAGCTTCAGGTTGAGGCCTCGGCCGACATGACGTGGTTTCTTGATGGGCCCGCGGCCTCGAAGCTACCGACTACCGAGTGATTAATAAAGAAGATATATATGATTGAGAATATAATGATAATAATTAATAATGATGAATAATGAATGAATAAGAAGCTCGATCGGGTGCGATGTATGAATCGTGACATGGGATTGTAACTTTGTGTGTGTACTTAAAATGAATATATGAACTATTTCTGTGTAGTTCAAATTAAAACCACATATAATTGATCTCTATATGATCTTTTTTCCCATGCCTGAATAAAGTGAAAAGTTGCACCTAATCCGAATTATTCAGATAGAAAAATGTGATAATATTGCTGTTAGAATTGTATAAGCAGCTGTGTATATATATCGAAGTATAGTAAAAATGTGATATAGTATTAATTAAAATTCAAAATTGGCAAACATGGCATTCACATACAACTACACGACTTCGAATATTGCAAGAATCGAGGATGTTACTCTTAAGCATTCATCACCTAATATTGTGTATATATACATTAGAACTTGAAAGAATGATAATCTCAATGCAAATTTACTTAATTTCTACCACCTGGAGATGATAATCTCAATGCAAATTTACTTGATTTCTACCACCTGGAGATCATGTACAAGAATCGACCTTTAAACGAGGGAGTTTGATTAAGAGTTTGTTTATATTAACTTGAAGGAGACAAAATGAAATTAAAATTACATATTCTATTTTTTATGTGTTTGAAGCTTGAACTATAATGGGTCTGAGGTCTGATAAGAAACAGGGGAGGTAGAAAAACACTATTGCAGTTTCGGTCCTATAAATACTAGTTATTTCCGAACCTTTTGGAAATTTGCAGTTTTGCTCCAAACCATGACTGGCATGCATGCACAGCAGCACAGATAAGTTCAAGAGAGAATCACAACTCACAAGAGTACTCTTGAAGTTTGATGTATATACAATACAACTCATTATTTATCAATATTACAAATACACCTCAAACAGGGTTCTTTTTGTAATTAGGCTAGCACTAAAGGGCTTTTTACGCAATTACTTCTCCCACCAGCTAGACGTTCCCGATGAATGATCGAACAATACGCCCTTCGAAAAATCGCACCATTTTTCGGGCGATTCTAAGTGGCTCATAATCTCATCTTCTTCAAACCACCTCAAGATTTCTCGATCATCGGTTTTCTCAAAAGTCCTTAATGCAGCATTTTTCGCAAAATCATCATCGTCCGGCTTGATGACATCATCCTTATCCATTCCTTCGTTTGAGCTGTTGTTGTGATATTCTTTGAGTTCGTCACCTTCTTCGACCTTGTCAAGATTCTTAACTAGATCATTTAGCTCCTCTAACTGTAAGAAAATAATAGCATAATTAATCACTAAAGATCTCAACTTTTCAACTCTAGTCCCCTTAAAATGTTCAATAAAAACAAATTTTAACAGCTCACGAGCAGCTCGTTTAGTTTTAACTTTTATACATATGTACAATCTTTTAAAGAAAAAAGTATTTCTGGTAATTTAGTTGAAACAACAGGGGACTTTTTAGAAGACTATAAAAAGTACTCTGGGATAAGAATGTAAAAACTAATTAATAAGAAGCATGATACCTGCATTAGCAAGGATTGTTTTTCCCTCTTCAAGTCGTCAAACTGTACGTACAAACTATCGTAATTTGCTCTCAGGTCCTTGTACTCTTGCTCAATTTGCTTGGATTTCCATCTGGCCCTTTTGTTCTGAAACCAGATGGCCACTTGGCGTGGCTGAAGCCCAAGATCTCTTGCTAATTGCAACTTCTTTTTTGGCTCAAGCTTCGACTCAATCTTGAAAATGGACTCTAATGATTGAATTTGTTCATCTGAAAATCTCCTTGCAATATTGTTCTTGCTAGATTTTCTTTTGCTTGGTTTGGGGGAATTTTTCATTTCTTGATTTGAGTTCTTTTGTGATTCCATTTTTTTTTTGTAAGGAATTTTGAGGAGGATTTAATTAGAAGGGTAATATAATATTATAAATGAGATGAAAGTGGGTTGAGAAATGTGGTGGGCCTTTTGATTAGGTTTTTGTCCCATGGAGTCTTGACTCTTGTGGATGCACTCTAAATGTGTGTGTGTGTTTTTTTTTTAAATATGTATATATTTTTTTGGAACACGTGGAGTTTGCTTATAAGAGTGTATTTTGTTTAATTGAATTTATATTTTTTTTATAGTTTATTATGTTGAGGAAATACTAATTACAATCTCATAAAATTGTATATTATTATTTTGTATTAGGTTGATCAATGGTCAGACCACTATATTATTACAACAAACTAGTGTGTACCCCGTGCGATACACGGGAACAATATTAAATTAACAATATTATAAATAGACCTCGAGTTTGAGTCACTCAATGGCGAAAGTGGAAACTACTATTGCTCCTATTTAAAAAGAGGAAGAAAAAAAAATAATTATAAATTAATAAGGAGGATAAACAAATTATAAAATTAAAGATTCGGGGTCAAACAATGTAAAATTATTTTGTATAAAAGAATATGAAAATATTTGATTACACACCATCTCAAAATTATTATTATACTTTTTTATATGGTTAACTTATAATATTTGTAAAAATATTAGTAATTAGACCGATAAAAATTAGCTTCTTAAAGTAGATAATGAATTTCTAGTAGTAATTATGCATTAGTTTCTATTTTTTTTTTAAAGATAATGAATTTCTAGTAGTAATTATGAATTGATTTCTATTTTATTTTATTTTTTCAATCTGTATAGATAAGGGATGAGATTTTCTAAACACGTGAGACGTATGCAATGGGATTTTGTAACAGAAGAGATAAACTCGTGTAGATTATACTAAAAATAGGAAAAAGAAAAACAAATATTTATTGTCAAACAATAGTTTTGATAAACTAAAAAACAGGAGAAACAAATTTTTACACAATTAATGAGTCGATTTTTTTGCCTATTCAGATTTGTCCAACAATTACTATATGTATGATATATTTAATGATTTTGGCGGGAAAAAGTTTTTAAATTTGTAAAAAAGTTATTCTTTTTATATAATGATAGATGTATATGATTTTACATTCAAATGTCATATTTTTATGTGAGTAATATTGTTGTTAGGTAGATCTAACGATTAGACAATCATATTTTTTTTCCAATAAATATTATACTAGAAAATAATATAAACAAAAATATGACAATTCATAGTACAAAGATGCATTTTTTGTTAAAGAAATATGACAGGATGACCCACCTAATGGTACTTATGCTTCATTACACAAGAATTTGTACTTTATAAATATAGTATAAATAAAAATATGATATTACATACTATAATTATATATTTTTTTTATTAAATGAAGTATGATATATAACTGCTAGACAGTCTAGCCGTCAAATTTATTTCCGTAGGGATCATAATATAATAACTCAATTGCAAAAGGAAAAAAAGGTGAAAAATTACAAAGAAGGGTAAGTGAAAATGTGAAATAATAAAATTAAGGGACATGGCTATTTAAAAATATCTTTGTGTTAGCTTCCTTGACAAATTTTTTTGGTGGCCCCCCAATGGAAGGAACCCTTAACTAAAGATTTGAAATGACTAAATTAAAGATGAACATGAAACGTGTTTTCTCAACTTATAATGACCGGTAGTTGCTTAGTAACGACAAAGGAAGAAAAATCTAA